AAATTGGAGAAACTCAAAGGCAATAAAAGATATCACCAAGGGTGACAAAATGCATCAAAACAAAATGAGGGAAGTCTGGCTGGTGTGGCTCAGCGGTCGAGCATTGACCTAGGATCCAGGAGATCACGGTTCAATTCCCCGTCAGGGTTGCAGGGTTGTGCAGGGGGCAGCCAATCAATGACTCTCATCATTGATGTTTCTCCCTGTCTCCCTCTCCCTTCCTCTCTCTGAAATCAATAAAGATTTTTTTTTAAATGAGGAAAATAAAACGCCACAAAATGTTTCATTTTAAAAATGAGTGAGCTTTGTCTAGGCAGAGTAAGGCAATAAAGTCCTGACTGCCCCCAAGAATGTTCCAAAAGGAATCTTCCTAAAGAATCTTTGGATTCACATCACTCTGGATGGAGCCAGCCCTTGGCCAGAGATCCCTTGGGATGTCATGGAGCTTGTCTCGATGGCCACCGGTGACGACCTCAGCCTTCCCGCCTCCTGCTGAATCCGGGCTTGTCATCCACACTCGCGTTTTCACTCACTGGCCGAGAGCCTGCAGTTAACCCCTCGTGACCGTGCTTACTCCTCACGAGCCCCCTTCCTAGACGAGGGAGCGGAGACACAGGCAGGAGCGGGAACCTGCCCAGGCACCTGCTCCAAGTGGTGGAGGGCACCTGGCCTGGGCCCTCTGGGCCCTCTGGGCCTGTCACTGCTCAGTGCAGTTGACGTGAGAGCAGCACTCTCGACATGGGAGCAGAAACCCATCACGTTCGAAATGTGTCCAGTTCCCACCCACCTGTAACGTGAGTAATGGGCATTCTCGTTTCATGATGATTTTGTAAAATCTTATTATGCAAGTTCGGGTAGGACTGCTTGCTGAGCAGAAGAAAGCTCTCGTTTGCGGGTAATAGAATTTTCACAGGTCTCATTTTTCGTCTGTTTAAGATCTTTTGCAATATTTTGCGTGTGATGGGTAGGTGTGCAATGCAGGCTTGTTTCATAAATGTACAAACACATTCCTTTTCACCACAATATGCATTTCTGCTATTTAGTCTCCACTCAGGGAAAGTCTATCCCTGAGTCGCCTTCATTCAACCACCGTTTATTGAGCACCTACCAAGCCCTGGGCACTGTCCAGGGTGCTGGAGGGGAAATGATGGGCCACACACGGGCCCCACTCTCTCAGAGGGTGCCCTGCGCCGGGGGCGTAACCTGGAGAAGACGGCTGGACTGCAGTGTGACAACGATGGAGCAGGGTCTGGGGATCGCGAAGCCTCAGGAACGATGTGGAAGGTGTTTCCAAGAGCACAGTTAGAGGAGGGAGACACCTGCCACAGAGACTGAGAGGGAGGGCCGGGGTGGGGGGGACCGTGGGGAAAACTGTGGGGGAAGGTGGTGTTTTCGAAGCTTCAAGGAGGGACTGGTCAGTAGTGGCCAGTGGTGCTTGAAGGCTGGGGGAGGTGGTGATGGGGCTTAGTGCGCAGATGTCACCGGTGACCTCGGCCGGCCCTGAATGGTGAGGCAGAAGCCCCGTCTCCGCAGGTTGTGGAGAGAAGGAGAACAGGCAGGAGACCCTGCTGACACTCGACTGGGAAAGGAAGGAACAAGAGGCAGCATATTTGGGATTTTGCTGTTTTTAAGAAATGGAGCAAAAGTTTGCCCTGTCAGCTCCTGCAGTAAGTTCTGAACCTTCCTAGTTTTTGTCACTTGGATCACAGGCAGCTTTTAGGGAAAGGCCCGAGGACACTTGATTCTTTCTGCTGGATTTTTAGCACTGCAGGGGCCAGGGCCACGTCTCGTGCATCTCTGCTGCTTCCCCCTTTAAAAGTGTGATTTCCAAGCCCTTTCCCCTGTCACTCAACACACTTTAAAAAAAAATAATAATAATGCAGCCCAGGCAGTGTGGCTCAGTGGTTGATAGTTGACCCATGAACCAGGAGGTCACGGTTCGACTCCCGGTCAGGGCACATGCCCAAGTTGCGGGCTCGATCCCCAGTCGGGGGNAAATAATAATAATGCAGCCCGGGCAGTGTGGCTCAGTGGTTGATAGTTGACCCATGAACCAGGAGGTCCCGGTTCGATTCCCGGTCAGGGCACATGCCCAAGTTGCGGGCTCGATCCCCAGTCGGGGGCGTGCAGGAGGCAGCTGATCGATGATGCTTCTTTCTCATCAATGATGTTTCTATCCCTCCCTCTCTCTGAAATCAGTAAAACATATTTTTTTAAAAATAGGCGTTTCTGCATTCCTCCTTGTGGGGTGTGGGTAATATCTTTCTTAGATGCTTCTGAGGCATTTTCACTTGTAAACATTCCACAAATCTGAGACTATGTGTGTCTTTTCAGTGTCCCTTATGGAGCTGAGTGATGTGTCCTGGGGTGAGACTGTCGTGTGTGTGGCGATGAACCCGGGGGGCAGGAAATGACTTTGGAAGTTCCCGGAATAAGGAAAGAGCAGATGACATGGCTGGCTGTGGAGGGAGGCGAGGTGCCCAGAAGAGACCTGCACCCTGAGCCCCTGCATTTCGGTCGTTGTACAGTGGATCGTATAAAAGTATAGGACAAGTGGAATTATTTCTTTTTCCTGTTCTGTTGAGACTACTTGCAAAAAGGGAGTCACGGCCCTGGGGAGAGATCAGCCTGAGGAATGTTCGTTCACAGCCTTGTCAAGCAGAAAAAGGCGTTGGCTTGTGTGCTGCGCAGAAACATTACTTGAAGCACCACCCAGAGCGTTGACTGCCCCCTGGACGTCCATCCCTCACCTGACTTGGTGGCTGCCTCCTTTATCAGGGTGATTTGTCTCCTCAAATCACGCTCTAGGAACGGCCGAGGCGGTGGCTGGCTTTGCCGAGCTGTGACTCTGAATTGAATGTTTTTGAAAGCTGGCTTCTGCTGAGCTGGCCGGGAAGATTGGGCAGAATGCCTGGGCGATTAGGAGTCTTCTGTGTAAAATAATGCAGCCTATGTTTTGGGTGACTTTCTCTGCTTTTGTGTCCCCTGCCTCTTGAAGTGGGGACAGTGTACAGTGTGGCAGATCATGAGGACAGGATTGTAAAAGGACTCGGCTCTGATATGATGCAGAGGTTGTGGGTGGAATTCCACACCCAGAAGAGAGAGAGAAATGTCTGCCAACACAGTCCCCCGTCACTGGGGCCATTGTGCCAAGGACAATATAGTCTTGTTTGCTTTGGCCACTCCCAGTTGCGCAGGAGCTTGGGGCTGGGAACCCAGACTGCCAGGCGACCCGGTCTGTCCACACCACGTGTCCTGCTGGGCTGTTGGCTGTGTGGCTTCCCAGGGAGACCCAGGAAACACTTGTAGAGATGGCACACCCTTCTCGCTGACCACGAGCTTGGAGAGGAGGGAAGGTGGTTCAGGGATCTGTATTTTATTATCTGTGACTTTCAGTGACTGAGAAAGAGAAATTCTCACGGCAGAGTTTTCGGGCGCTCCGTGTGTCTTGCCTAACAGCCGCCCTCCCTTCTCGGAAAGGCCTGAAATTCCCTGAAATGCCTCGTGAGGAGTTTGCTGTTTTATTTCCCCTCCTTCGCCTCTCCGCTGCTTTCACCCAGGCAGCTTTAAAAGCCCACCTTGCACCCTGGCTAGTGTGGCTCAGTTGGCTGCTCAGCGTCCTGTGCGCCAAAGGGTCACTGCTTCGACTCCCGGTCAGGGCACGTGCCCAGGTTGTGAGTTTGATCCCCGGGTGGGGTGCGTATGAGGGACAACCAATCGATGTTTCTCTCTCTCCCTCACTCCGTCTCCCTTCTTCTCTCTTGAAAATCAATAAAAATGTGTTAAAAATAAATAGATAAAAATAAAAGTTCACCTTGCCTCCAGGAAACATTTAAATCCGGGACCTGGAGGCAGGGTTGAGTCAGGGCCCTGTGAGCTACATATATTAGCTTATGTCGGCTTGGACCCAGCGCCCACTGTTGGGACAGTGGCCTTGGTGCTTGACAAGGTGCATTTGGAACTTCATTCTGATGTCGGATGAGTTTGGGGCACTTGCTGTTTTCACAGAGACCGTGTGTGATATTGTGATGTTTAAGAAAAAATCATCTCGGTTCCTGGCAGAGGTTCTGAAACCCTTGGAAGTTCCTAAGTGATTAGAGTGATGAAAGTGCCCTTTGTTTTTCATAACCAGCCCCTTTCAGCCACACCCCAGGTGCATTCAGGAGCTGGCTTTTGGAAAGCCCTTGAGGATGGGGAACTATGTGGGTTTGGGGGGGTTGGAAATTTGAGTCTCACCTACCTGGGGGAGGGAGGGGTTAGAGGTGGAATCAGTCACCAGTGGCCAAATATTTAATCAGTTATACCCAGTGATGGGTCCTCCATAAAAATTCAAACGGACGAAACTTAAACAAAATGTGCGCTGGAGCTGCAGAACAGAGGGATTGAAGGACTGAGGCTGGGACGAGCCGTAAAGTGACCTTTTGGACAGAATAGACATATCTGTACCTTGGTTTGGGTGCATACCATGTCTAAACTCACCAGTGGAAAATCTAAAATCTTGCATTTTTATTATATGTAGATTATACCTCATTAAAACTAAAAAATGATAACTGTGACAGGTGTTCCCAGGTGCTGTGCAGCAGAAATGAGGGGAGGCCCCAGGGAGGCCCCGTCGGATCAGGATTTACAAGTGGGATTGGAAAGGCAGGAATTGAGGATCCCAGCCAGGTGACAGACCTGGACAGCATCCCAGGGTGGGAAGGGCTGTGCCTTGTTAGTACCAGTGGCTTAAGAAGGAAACCCCAGTTATTTCACTGAATGTGTTTTCTGTAAGACTTGCTGTGTGTCGGGGGCAATACAGTTCCCCCTCCCTGCTGTGAGCTTCTTAGTGGACTGTGTGCAGATGTTAATTTTATAACAGCCTTTTAAAAACTTTCTAATCAATGTAAGTTTTTCTAAGTAGTAAATTATCAGTACTTTGTTTTTAAAAGATTTATTCAAGAGTATGGCCTTAGTCAAGTAACCTGATGGTTTCTATCTTTTCCCCTTAAAAATAAAAGCTGCAGATTCTCGTGGACACCGGGAGCAGCAACTTCGCCGTGGCTGGGGCCCCCCATTCTTTCATAGACTCCTACTTTGACGCGCAGAGGTGAGTGATTGGTCCATGGCTGGGCCTGGCCAGCTTTGGGGGCACCATACCCATACTTCACAGTCCCCTGGAGCAAAACAGCCAGAAGTCTGTTTCATCTTAAACAACACAGTGTGTGTACATAGTTGTGTGTACATGTATACGTTTGTGAGTATGTGTGTGTAGGTATGTGTTCATTCCAGGGGAACCCACAGGAAATTCTAACAGTCTCTGTACATGCTCATGAGATTTGCTGTAGAAAAATGCAAGTCATACAGCAGTTTTGCAGTTGTACCTGAGCTGCAGGGAGCACATGGCCCTTGGGTGTTAACTGTGGCCCCTCTGGTCCTGAAGTGGAGGTGGGCTCGAGAGGGAGACCGGCAGTGGAGGTGAGTGTGAGACTGTGTGCACGGGGGTCTGAGCTGCTGCAAAGTCACCTTTGTGTTGCTCTGTAGTTTTTATGACAAGTTTCTTTTTTAAAATTAATTAAATTTTTTAATATGTTTTTATCGCTTTCAGAGGGAGGAAGGGAGAGGGAGAGAGAGAGAGATAGAAACATCAATGATGAGGGAGACTCATTGATCCCCTGCCTCCTGCACGCCCCCTACTGGTGATCCAGCCCACAACCCGGGGATGTGCCCTGACCGGGAATCGAACCAGTGACCTGCTGGTTCATAGGTTGACGCTCAACCACTGAGCCACACCGGCCAGGCTATGATGAGTTTCTTTGCAATGCCCTGAAATGAGATGCAGAGGTAATGTTACTTACCTATAAGGTAATTCTAACTGCCCTGATGTAAAGTAAGGAAAATAAAAGGAGGTTTATAGCGAGGGCTTCAGCACCTCAATATGTAAACACTCTGGTCGGGCTGCAATAGGAGACACAGGAGACACCTCCGGGCACCGGCACCCAGGGCGGGCTGATAGAGGCAGGTTGAGACAGACTCAGGCACCCAGGGCACGCGTGTAGGTGACGTGGTTTTCCACATCGGCACCGAATCATGGTGAAGTTCCCCCAGAAACCGCACTGTGAGTTTCATCCCTTGGCACTTCTGTCATTCGAACCTCAGCTGGACTCTCCCACTTGCAGGTATTGCTGAGATTTTCTAAGTCCCTATAAGACTTTACTCACAGTTTGGCCCCTGTCCCTGACCCTGCCTTTCTTGTAAAGAGAAGCATTCTTCATCAGGGTGACTGGTCTCTTCTCAGCTGAACCAGAGATGGAAGCCCGGAGAAGGTTCTCACCGCCTTTCCCTGTCTCCACCGAGGTTTCCTCTCTGAGCGCGGCGCCCGCTGGGGTGTCCTGTGCTCGCCCCGCCCTCTGACCTCCCTTAGTTATAATCAGGGTTCTGGCTGGGTTGTCGGCCTCGGAGGCAAGTGCTCCCGACGTGGGATATTCAGGTCGAACGCTTCCTGAAGCATTTCCCCAGCGATTGGAGGTGCGGCTTGGGGTTCTTTGGCAAGGTCCCTTCCATTTATGGAGGAGACGTCAGGTGACTGGTAGTCATTTGTGTGGCTTGTTCCCGCCGGAAGCCCGCTTGGCCCGGCGGCGGGTGTCCGGTGAACGGCTCTATAGCAGAAAGAAGACGGCCCGGTTTTCAAGATCTGCTTCCTTTTCAGCCGGTAAAACAGAGTCCGGCCAGTTGGCTTGCTGAGAGATGCAGTATGCTCATCCCTCTGACCTGCTCATCTATTCAGGAAATTAAGTATATTTCTATTAGAATTTCCCCTCCTCTCTTACGCCGTTGGGGGTGAAGCCCGCAGAGCAGTCGTGGCACAGGAGCAATTTCTTCTCCTTCGATGCTTGTCAGTGGGATTAGAGTATTCGAGATGTACCCGGTGACCTTAAGGAGGCTGAGCCAGACCCCGAGACAGTCGTTTTTGCCTGATTCTTTAGATAATTTCTCGAGCCTGCCTGTTGTTTGCATGTCCAGGAGGGAACGTGCCCCGTTGGAGCCCACCCACCCGCGTGTGCCATTTTCAAGAATGTTGGTGAACCCCAGGTTGTGTAGGCTAACCGAGAGCCCCTGGGCCTTTGGTGACCCACTGATCCCGTCCCTTCCAGAACCTTCCAGAACCGTGGAAGAGTTGGAGGGGCATCTGGTCCCCCAGGGCAGGCCAACGACCCCGAAGGTAACTCTGAAATGTGCAGAAGCGCCCAGGAAGGTGTCGGCTGAGTCCCCTAGGTCCCTCCCTGCGTGGGATGACTCAGGAGAAGCAGAGCTGACCCACGGTGCAGCTCTGGAGCTCGGCCCCCCGCCCCCTCAGGTAGCCTGAAAACAGTCGTGGTTTCTTCTACAATAATAAAACGTGCGGGCTCTCTTCTCCTCCGTTCAATTGATTCCGCTTTTCAGTCCTGTGGTCCCCGAACACTCTCGCCAGAGGGAGAGCGTCTCCTGGATTTGGTGCAAAGTGATTTTATTGCTGTGAGTGGACTTTCCCCCGGTTCCCCGCGTCCCAATTGATCGCTGTTTCTGAGCGCAGAGGGTGGATGCTGCAGGAGAAGCGATCTGGGCTCGCTCTCCCCCGAGCTGGTTAATTAACGATCGAGAGCCACGGCTTTTCAACGCCGAGAGGTGGCGGTTAGGACAGGAAGAGGGAGGAACGCGTTTGATTTTTAACTTCCTGCTGGAGACCTGCGTGAACAGCCCTAGGAGCGGCGCACGGCTCGGCTCTGGGGCTTTGCTCTGGGAGCTTAGTTTGCGGATCCTGGGGATAGGAGCCCAAGGGGAATCTCTCTCCCATTGTCTGGGCTGTGCTTTCCACAGGGTAGACACCAGCCGCATGTGGCTGTTTAACATTAAATAATGCTCCGGGTTTAGCCCCACCGCACTCACACGGTAAGTGCGCCGTAGCCCCCTGTGGCTGCCGTTTGGGGCGGCATCAGTTGAGACTGTTTCTTACAGGAGGCCTCTTGGGCAGTGCCGGCCTGGACACAGCGACTCCACCTTCCAGAAGCCCGCAAGGCTCCTCCCTGCCCCGGCCGCCTCGACCATGACTTCCCCACACGTTCCCCTTTCCACGGGGGTGGTTAGACTTCAGAATGAGACAGTGAGGATACTCAGTAAGAGTAACTCTACAGGAGCATTT